GTGGACACCTGGGAACAGGAGATACGATATTATGGGATGGGATGGGGGTGGAACATCCCTTCTCTGAGGATCCTCTGGTAGAGGGCTTCATTTCCAGGAGTAGACTCACCAGCTGGTTGATCTGGGAGAAGGATGGGTTCTGGATGTGCAGGCGGTCTGTGGCGATCCGGTTCAGGGCCGTGTTGTCCAGCACCACCTGGCAGGACAGAAGGAGTCAGTAACATCTTTTGTGGCAAAAGGGACATTGAAGTAAGATACATACAGCTTAGTTTCTGCAAACTCCCAAACCAGAAAATAGGCTTGCTACCTTCAAAGAAACATACTATCTCTGGGGTCTGATGACACGTTACTGACATGATACAGGACAGTGAACAAATCCGTCTCCCACATGCCTTGGTTCTGAAGACACTTTAGTGGACAGCAGACATGGGCTTTTGCCACCATTGGGCCTACAGTTTAGGGAAAAAAGCAGCTATTGAAACGAGGGTGGAAGCAGAACTTGTGTTCAGTGGTTTTTAGTAATAAATCCAGCAGCACTGTCACACACACTCCTAATTCCAGTTACCCAGGAAGCTGAGGCAGGGGGATCACAAGTTTGAGGCCCAGCTAGGGCAATTTAGTAAGTTCCTGCTTCGTTTTCTTTATCTTCTTTTCAGTCTTGACTCAAACTGTCTTGGGACCTAACTATGTAGCCCAGGCTATTCGTGAACTAATTAATAGTGATTCTCCTGCATCAGCCTTCTGAAAAATGGAATTGACAGACATAAACCACCACGCCCAGATAAGACCCTGTTACTAAATAATTAAAGTAGGTTAACAATATACACAAAGGGATTTGACCTTGCCCAAATAATGAGAAAAGGTTTTGTCGCAAATGTGACCCTTGAGTTCAAGCACAAGGAGACATTAAAGAGGCAAAATGGGGTGTCTATCAGGAGAGGGAGATACTCTTTGTTGAGAGTCATGCTGCCCCAAAGACCAGGAAGCTGCTTTGGAGGTTGGGATCTTAATTCATAATCTGACCCATATATCTTTTGTTTTTTGGGGGTTTTTTTTGTTGTTTGTTTTATTTTGTTTTTGGCAGACCAGGGCTGGAAAAGGGCAAGGGCTGTCGTTGGAAGGCAGGCCAAGCTCCTGCTCAGTCTTCCTGAGCTCACCACACAGTCTGCATTCTGGGTCAGCCGCTTTAGGGTGAGGAGGGAGTTGTAGGGCTGCACCACGACGTCGCTCATCTCGTCCTGGTTGGGAAACACGGAATATGTCTGCACCAATTTCTTGGGGTACCTGGGACAAAGGAGAGGGAAAGGGGAAGGTGTCCCAGTGAACTGTAGGACCTCTGTGACTCCCAGTCTCCTTTCCGAGTGCCACTGAGTTCTTGTACAAAAGCAGCAAGGGCAGACCTCAGTGTTCAGCACCCAGAGGATAAGCCACGGTTCTGAAGGCCTCGAGGTACCGTCCCATGTCAATGCCAGCTATTACTTCCAAGGTTTAACCTGGACGGTTCTGTCTCTGTGACTCGAGGAGGGAGGGGGTAGAAAAAAACCTTCCAGCTCAAGGAGCAAAAGGAACAACATGGAAAGTGGCTATCTAGGAATTCCACTTTAGGATCTGATTCTGTGACAAATGCCCCAGGAAAAGGCTACCTGAGAAAGAAAGGGCTCATTTGGCTTTCAGTTCCAGGTTACAACCCATTATCTCAGGAAGTTAAGGCGGGATGTCCACAGTCAAGAACAGAGAGAATCTGTATCTTTTCTTGCTGGCTGGCAGCTAGCTTTCTCCTCTTTTATGCTGTTCAGAAATCCCTAGGTGAGGTCTTCCTTTATCAATGAGCAAGACAGTCCCTTCCAGACATGCTGACAGGCCAACCTGATCTAGATAATTCCTCATCAGAACTCCCTTCCTATTGGTAAGGTGACTTCCACTTCCTAAGGTGACTCACTGGGTAGGGTAAAGGTGCCAGCCACCACTCTCAATGACCCGAGTTCACTTCCTGGGACCCACATAGTGAAAGGAGAAAAGCGACTCCCACACACTGACCTCTGCACACACGCAGGGACAGGCATGCCTCCCCAAAGGTAAACAATAAAAATGCAATTAAAATATTAACCAACACACCAGGGAATCAGGGCTAATGACCTCTTCTCAAACACAAGCTCACCTGTCATTCAGTCTCTCTAAGAGATAGGAGCCCAGACCAGAGCCTGTCCCTCCAGCAATGGAATGGCACAGCACGAAGCCCTGAATGGGGAGAGAGAAAAGGGCAGTGGGCAGGGATCTCAAGGAGAGATTTCGGCCTGGTGTCATAACATGAAAAACGACGCAAGAGAGAAAGACGTCGTGCGACAGAGCTCAGGTGGAGGGGTTTTTATTGGGGGAAAGTAAATGGGAAAAGGGGGGAGTGGGGAGACTGACCTCTGGGGACAGGAGTGGCAGGAGAAGAAGAGGAGGAGATGGCAGGTGGGCAGGGCCCTTTTAAAGGGGGAACATAGTGAATGCGCACAGGTGGCGCTCTTAGTGGCTACAGCTGAGGACATAGACCCCAAGGTCAGGCCAGTACAGATGCCTAAAGACTAGCACCTTGTCTCTGAGGATCCTTGGGAAGGTTCCAAGACCAAGCAGAAGCTGAGGGACCCATGTCTATGAAGCATATAGCGTTGGAAGTCTGATTTCCCCAAGAACAAAGCAGTATTTTAAGACCCTAGTGCTCCCTGGATTCTGGGAACGCGGAGTGATGTTTCTTCCACATCAGGTGTTGAGAGCATGCCTGATTTTTCTCCCAGCATGCTTTACTGTAGAAGGACCTCACCTCGAGGCTGTCACTTCCATCTGCTTCTCGGTCTATGATGTCAAAGATGTCCTCATGAATTTTCTCACCCTGGATATAGACATGGGAAGGGAGAGTCAGGCCCAAGTTTCTCTTCTGAGCACCAAGAACTCCACCTTCTGTCTCTGCTGCCATCCTGAAACCCACCTTCCCAGCCAGAATCTTTCTCAACCCAGAACTGCTGCTTTGTGAATGATTTACATAAAGTTTGCACAACCACCTTCCTCGCAGTCCGTTTCCCAGCATATCCATTTGTCTCTTATTTATCGCCAGTCTAGTCTGGACAGAGTCCCAGACTTACTTGGGCCTTGCCTTATCCCAAGCTAGGATTACCAAGGACTCCGGAACTGACACCTGTGAGAATCCCCTGCCCCAGTTGTTGCCAGCTCCTCCTCCGTGCTCAGACAGGTAGATGTTCTCTGGGTTGTAGAGCTTGGCATAGGAGGAGTTGAGGATGGAATGGATCACCCGGGGCTCCAGGTCCAGCAGCACAGCCCGGGGGATGTAATGCTCATCGTCTGCCTGCCAAAGGGAAGCCAGGATGGGCCAGTGAGCCTGGCTGGATCAAGTCCTGCATCCTCCCAACTCTGGCTCCTGCAGGCCCTCCCTTCTTAAGACAGCCATTCTGGTCCCATCCTGCTCAGTGGGTTTCCCAGCACCAATTTGCTGCACATCCCTTCATGCCCCTAGGGTCCTGGTCCAGTCATGGTGGGGAGGCACCTGGTAGAAAAAGACGTCCTTGCGGTCAGTGCCTTCGGTGGCGAACTCCTCCACGATGCCCTCGGGGCTGATGCCATGCTCAGCACACAGCTGTTTCCAGAACTCGAACCCAACTGCGGGAGGAGGAAGAGGTCCAAGTCTGCTGGAGCCTTAAGGCCGGAAAAGCCCAGGCTCAGAGGCTATTACATTCAGGAAGGCGACCCAAGACGCCTGGAAGTTGTCACAGCTCAGGACTGAGGAGGCAGCTCTTGCCCGGATCATCAGGCCCAGTAAGGTAAGAAAGGTGGTTGTGGGAAGGACAAAAGGGATGGATGGGTACCAGGCACTTGAATGCGGGCCCAGGGACAGAACCAGAGACTGGCGGAGCTCGGCGGTCGCTTGCTCACTCTGGTTGCCGCACTGGCCCAGCTGCAGGGTGATGATCTCCCGGGGCATCGCCAGTCAGACGTGAGCTCGTCCGCCCCAGGCCGGCGGGAGTCACGGCCCAAAGGAACGCCTGGCAGCCAGGCGCGCAGGACATGGGCAGCGCGCTGTCTGCCGGTGTTTTGACGCGGACGCTGGGTCTGCGCGTGTGCAGTGTGGGCCTCTCCGCAGCCGGCGGGCGGCAGAACCCATCCTGGGCATCATTTTCTCTGATCACAGGCACAGCTGGAATTCAGCACAGGCGCAGAGTGAGGCCACGCCC